ATAAACGTTCACCTCTTTTTTGTAATTTTGCTAGATTTACATTACTTCTACTATTAATTTCATTGATATCATTTTGTATTCCTCTTAATAATTCTATTATATTATCTTGTTTTCTATGATCTACTATTAGTGGTAAAGTATTAATGTACAATCCCACAGAGTTTTCTATATTATCTATAGGTATATCTCTTCCTGATATTGTAGTTCCAACTATTGTTTGATTATTCCTACCATAAACACTTAATACTTTATGCCAAACATATTGTAATATTGTATTTAATGTAATTCCCTCTTCTTGACTTAATTTTTTTAGATCATAATAAAGTTTATCTTGTATATTGAATGTTACTTCTTTCGACTCTTTAATATGCTTATATTCACTAAGTACTATATGTTTATTAATACTTGATAATAAAACGCTTAGATCACTTCGTTCTTCTATTTTTGATATATAATTATTCCAATAAACATCATCATCATTTTTATGTTTCTGTAAATATCTTTGTGCATCTCCATAACTGTAATCTATTGATACTAGTATTGTTTCTTTACTTTGTAATTTAAAGTATGTCTCATGAACATACCCTAATAATATAGAAGTGCTCCAACCATCTAATATAGCATGATGATTACTGAATATACATGTGTATAAGCCTTCTCGTTGCTTAATTAGATATATCCTAAATAGATTACTATTATCTAACTTATAAGTTTCTAACCTGTCTTTTTCTTGAATTTTTCTTATTTCTTGCTCTTGAGACTCTTCTTTTATTTCATTGCTTAGATCAATATACCTCCAATCTAGATTGCCAATCTTATCTATTACTTGAACTAATTCTTCTTCCCAACCAAACTTTAACCTTAAGCTTTGGTATTTAGTTTGAGCATAACACCAAGCCCTCTTTAGATTATTTACCTCTACTTTATTTGCATATTGCCATATTAATTGTACTATATAAGCATCATCATTATTTCCTTGATTCAAAGCATGATAAATAAAACCTTGTTGCAAACTGTTAGCTAAATATATTCCTTCTATTTCCTTTGTCTTTTGCAATTTATCTAAATATTCTTGACTTATTATGTAACTCATTTTTACCTACCATTGATTTATATCACTAATTGTCAAATAACTTCTAGTTTGGTTTATGGTGTAGTTAATTATGTCTTCTAATCTTTGTTCAAATGATTTTGTTAAGCTAGTTACAATACCCTCACTTAATTTACTTGCTGTGCTAAATTTTATTTTACCATCAATTACTAAACCATTAATATCAACTAATCTATCATCATGATTAGCAGTATGTATTGATCTACCACTATTCTCATCAACAATACTCCAAAATTTTTGTTGTTTTAAATTACTTTCTTCATCAAACTGTCCCAAATAATTAAAAGTGATTCTAGGCATATTTTTTAATTTGTATCCAATGATTGCTCCATACCCAATTCCTCTGTTAGGTATCTGCCTCAAGTTCTCTTTGGTATTTTTAATGCTATTGCCTAATTCTTCATACACTTCTAATCGCACTGGATACATAGTAGTAAACCATCCAACCGTTCTTGTTACATCTATATTATTATCTATTTCTTCTCTACCATGCCCTTCTAATATTATATGATTAACTCGACTTCCAGTTACCTCATATAACGTATATCCTAGTGCTGTTAGGAGTATGTCATTTACTTGAGTATGATATGCTCTATTACTATCTCTTAGTAATTGTCGAGTTTGTTCAATGCCTAATTCAAAATTTGCATAATTATTAATATCTTCACTTACTACTAATTTAGCTACAATATTTGCATTATAATCAGCCAAAACATTGTTCCAATAATCTTCCTCTTCAGAGTGTGTATCTGCATATTCCTTTATTGTTTCTACCCATTGTCTATAGCTACTTCCTTTTGGGCCTAATTCTTTACCATTATATATGTTTTTTAAATCTTCTACTAATATCCTCCAACTCACTGCATCTACTATTAAGTGATGCAAAGCGAAGAATTTAAAACAACAAAAATTTTGGAGTATTGTTGATGAGAATAGTGGTAGATCAATACATACTGCTAATCATGATGATAGATTAGTTGATATTAATGGTTTAGTAATTGATGGTAAAATAAAATTTAGTATAGCTAGTAAACTGCATAAAGATAAGAATATAAGAATAGCGGAATTATTTAAGCAAAATCTAGAATATATAATTAATCATGCAGTAAATCAAACTAGAAGTTATCTTACAATAAGTGATGTTGAAAGCCTAATAAGCCAGGAATACTTAGATAAGTTACAAAAAACAAGGGAGATAGAAGGAATATATTTAGCTAACAGTTTGCAACAAGGTTTTATTTATCATGCTTTGAATCAAGGAAATAACGATGATGCCTACATAGTACAATTAATATGGCAGTATGAAAATAAAATAGAGGTAAATAATCTAAAGAAGTCTTGGTGTTATGCCCAAATGAAATACCAAAGCTTAAGGTTAAAGTTTGGTTGGGAAGAAGAGTTAATTCAAGTAATAGATAAGGTTGGTAATCTAGATTGGCGATATATTGATCTAAGCAAGGAAGTAAAAGAAGAGTCTCAAGAACAAGAGATCAGAAAAATTCAAGAAAAAGATAGGTTAGAAACTTACAAGTTAGATAATAGTAATCTATTTAGGATATATCTAATTAAGCAGAGGGAGGACTTATATACATGTATATTCAGCAATCATCATACTATATTAGATGGTTGGAGCACTCCCGTATTGTTAGGATATATTCATGAAACATATCTAAAGTTACAAAATAAAGAGGCAGTATCAGTATCAATAGATTACAGTTATGGAGATGCACAAAAATATTTATGGAAGCATAAAGATGCTAATAATGTTTACTGGGACAACTACGTATCAAAAATAGAAGAGCGAAGTAATTTAAGCTTTTTATTATCAAGTACTAATAAACATATAATACTTAGTGAATATAAACATATTAAAGATCCAAAAGAAATAACACTGAGTATACAAGATAGACTTTATTATGGTTTAAAAAAATTAAATCAAGAAGAAGGAATTACATTAAATACAATATTACAATATGTTTGGCATAAAGTGTTAAGTGTTTATGGTGGAAGTAATCAAACAATAGTTGGAACTATAGTATCAGGACGAGGTGTACCTATAGATAATATAGAAAATTCTGTGGGACTATATATTAATACTTTACCACTGTATCATCTAGTATCTTTTGTTCTATTATATTATCTTAATAATTCTCCTTATGTTTTACTATAGTTACTTTAATTATCATCTTCATTACATTTAGATCGTTTTAATGTTTTTTCTCCACTTGCAAATATTGATAGTTTATTTATCTATGAAAATTATCCAAGTTCAAATAATACAGAATTACAAGATAAAATTCTTAAAGTAAAATTTAAAGAAAGTAAAGAAAAAATAGACTATCCATTAGGAGTAGTAGCCTATGAAACAAGTAATCAACTTGCTTTTAAGCTTGAATATGCAGAAGAACTATTTTGTGATAGCAGTATAAAAATGCTGCTGTCAACAGTAAAAGAATTATTAGGACAAATCGCAAAAAATCTTCGACTGAAAGTACAATATTTAAACTATTTGCCTGTAGAACAATATCAACAAATTATCTATGATTGGAATGATACTGATAAAGATTATCCAAGTGATAAAACCATTCATCAGTTATTCGAAGAACAAGTAGGGAAGACTCCTGACGATGTAGCTGTAATATATGAAGAAACTAAATCAACATACAAAGAACTAAATGAAAAAGCCAACCGATTGGCAAACTACCTAAGACAAATATCTGATATCAAAGCAAGTACATTAGTAGCACTATGTCTAGATAGAAGTGAATATATGTTGGTAGCTATTCTTGCTGTACTAAAAGCTGGTGGAGCATATGTACCAATAGATCCTAGTTATCCCGATGATAGAATTCATTATATCTTAACAGATACTAACACTAAACTATTACTAACTAATGAGATATATGGCAAAAAGTTGAGTCAAGTAAATACTTTAAGCATAATACCATTAGATAATGCGATATTACAGCAGCAATTATTATTACAATCTACAGTTAATCTTGAGATAGTAACTAATAGTACTGACCTGATGTATGTAATATACACTTCGGGAACAACTGGTAATCCAAAAGGAGTAATGATTGAACATAGAAGTATAGTAAATAGGATCCAATGGATGAATAATGTATATCCTCTGAATAGATCAGATAAAATCCTACAAAAGACACCCTATGTTTTTGATGTATCGGTTTGGGAATTATTATGGGCCAATTGTTATGGTACATGTGTAGTATTTGCAGAACCAAATGGGCATAAAGATACTCAGTATATTAGAGAGTTAGTAGCTAAAGAGTCTATAACTATAGTTCATTTTGTTCCATCAATGTTAAGTACATTGCTAGAAATACTAGAATCAAAAGGACTGAGCTCTGGTATTATGTCAAAGCTACGATACGTTTTCTGTAGTGGAGAAGCACTAAGTTTAAAACAGGTAAAAAAGTTTCAGGAATTATTGCCAAATGTAGAAATACATAATTTATATGGTCCTACAGAAGCCTCTGTTGATGTACTAAGCTATGATTGTAATAATAAAAACATACAAACTGTTCTTATAGGTAAAGCAATTCAAAATACTACATTATATGTACTAGATGATAATTTAAATCCTGTACCAATAAGTGCAGTAGGAGAATTATACATAGGAGGAGTAGGACTCGCTAGAGGATATTTAAACAGAGCAGACCTTACAGCAGAGAAATTTATTGCTAACCCGTTTCAAACAGAAGAAGAGAAAATTTATAATAAGAATACTCGTCTATATAAAACAGGGGATTTAGTACGTTGGTTACCTGATGGTAATTTGGAATATATAGGACGTAATGATTTTCAAGTAAAGATCAGAGGATATCGAATAGAATTAGGAGAAATAGAAAATGCTTTATCAAGTTATGATGGGATAAAACAAAATGTTGTAATTGCTAAAGAACATAAAAACGTAGAAGAAGGTAATAAGTATTTAGTAGGTTATTATGTATCAGAATCTAAATTAAATGAAGAAAATATTATAAGTTACCTGCAAAAGAAACTACCAGAATATATGATGCCATCTGTGCTGGTACATTTAAAGGAATTACCATTAACAATCAATGGTAAGTTAGATAGAAAAGCACTACCTGAGCCTGAATTTAGTAGTGGGGATCATTATGTAGCTCCACGCAGTGAAGTAGAAAAGCAAGTATGTGAGATTTGGGCCAATGTACTAGGTTTAGCTATAGACGTTGGGATTCATGATGATTTCTTTAGGTTAGGTGGTAATAGCATTGTAGCAATAAGATTAGTTAGTCAATTAAATAAAAGGTTAAATAGTGATATTGCTCTATCTTCAATATTTAAACATAGGACAATACAAGAATTAGTTCATTATTTAAAATATAGTACTGAAGATAAAGTAATAATAAATAAAACTGTTATTACTAACGTAGAAGAACAATTACTGTCCTTTGCTCAAGAGAGATTATGGTTTATTGAAAAGTATGAAGAAGGAACTAATGCTTATAACATACCAATGATATTTAAATTATCCAATGATATTAAATTAGATATATTAGAAAAAAGTATCGGAAGTGTAGTTGCTAGACATGAAATATTAAGAACCTTGATTAAAGAAAATAATGAAGGTAATGGTTATCAAATTGTTATAAATGATCAAGAACATCCTTTGGAAATAATTAAAGTAAATGTAGCAAATTACTCACAATTAGATCAAGAATTAGAGAAACAAATAAATCATGTATATGATCTCACTCAGGAATACCCAATCAGAGTATGTATATATTCATTAGAAGATAGTACCAAATTAAAAGTAGAATATTACTTGAGTATAGTAATACATCATATANATATATTCATTAGAAGATAGTACCAAATTAAAAGTAGAATATTACTTGAGTATAGTAATACATCATATAGCTTTTGATGGATGGTCTACCGATATATTTTTAAGAGAATTGCAAGAATATTATAGTTACTATTTGAACCAATCTCAAGGTTTAGAAAATTACATAGAATTACCAAATTTAAGTATACAATATAAGGATTTTGCATTATGGCAGAGAAATTATTTAAGCGGAGACAGATTAGCTAAACAATTAGAATATTGGAAAAATAAGTTAGAGGGTTATGAACCATTAAATCTAGTTAGCGATAAACCAAGACCTAGTCAGATAAGTTATCAAGGTTCAGATGTTTATTTTGAATTAGATGAAGATACATCTAAAAGGTTAAGAGAATTAGCAAAAGAATTAAAGGTAAGTTTATATAGTGTTCTGCTTAGTGGCTACTATTTAATGCTCAAAAGTTATAGTAACCAAGATGATATAGTAGTAGGAACTCCAGTAGCTAATAGGCATTATAACCAGATAGAAAACTTGATTGGATTTTTTGTTAATAGAAGAGTTAGGCGATAGTATCAAAAATACTAAAGAAAACTTGATTGGATTTTTTGTTAATTCATTAGCACTAAGAGTAAAGATAGAGTCAAAAGAGTTAATTAAAGATTTTATACAAAAGGTAGGAGATGAAGTAGTAACAGCCCAATTGCATCAAGATTTACCATTTGAGAAGTTAGTAGAAGAATTAAAAGTAGTTAAAGATACTAGTAGGAATCCTATATTCCAAGTTATGTTTGAAATACATGGATTCAATACTCAAGTAAAAGGAACCACTGAAAATAACCTAAAAAATTTATTAAAGGAATATATTACAGAAAGTAGCTTATATGATGTCGCTAAATTTGATATCAGCACATTCATAGATGATAGTGAAGTTGCTTTAAAAGGTAGCTTTAATTATGCAGTAAATTTATATACTGAAGCAACAATTAACAGATTTGTAGAAACTTATATAGGAATATTAAAACAATTAGCAGAAATTGCTTATGATAAACAAAAGCAAACAATTAGAGTAACTGAATTAAATTATCTAAATTTAGAACAATATCAACAAATTATCTATGATTGGAATGATACTAATATAGATTACCTAAATGATAAAACCATCCATCAATTATTTGAGGAGCAAGTAGAAGGAACTCCTGACAATATAGCTGTAATATATGAAGAAACTAAGCTAACATACAGAGAATTAAATGAAAGAGCAAACCAACTAGCAAACTATCTAAAACAAATACATGATATTAAACTTGATACATTGGTAGTACTATGTTTAGGTAGAAGTGAATATATGTTAATTACTATTCTTGCTGTGTTAAAAGCTGGTGGAGCATATGTACCAATAGACCCTAGTTATCCTAATGATAGAGTGAAATATATATTAGCAGATACTGGTACTAAGCTGATATTAACTAATGAAGTACATAAGTCAAGGTTGGAAGAAATAAGTAAGCAACAGATAGAGATACTAGCAGTAGACTCTGGCAAGATGCAGAAACAGCTGTCATTACAATTAGTAAATAATCCAAATGCAAAAGTTAAGAGTACAGATTTAGCCTATGTAATTTATACTTCAGGAACAACTGGTAACCCTAAAGGAGTAATGACTGAGCATATAGGAGTGATAAATTTAAAATATGATATGACTAATAAGTTAAGAGTCATGGATAATGAAGTCATTTTGTTATTTGCTAATTATGTGTTTGATACTTCAGTAGAACAAATAATATTATCACTGTTGAATGGTCATGTGTTATTACTAATTCCTAATCAACTTTGGTTAGATAAAGAAGTATTTTACCATTATTTGAGTACAAACAATGTTACACACATGGAAATTAGTCCTAAATTTTTAGAACAATGTGACTTAAGTAAAATTTCAAGTTTAAGAAGAGTAATAGCTGGTGGTGAAGCTTTAACTGATAATTCCTATAGTAAAATTATATCAAATAGTAGTTGTGAGATAATCAATTCATATGGGCCTACAGAAGTTTCGATAACTTCTATAATTAATATTATTGGAAATAATAATATAGCAATAGGAAAGCCAATTGCAAATATTAGCTGCTATGTTTTAGATAATAACTTAATGCCATTACCGATAGGAGGAATAGGAGAACTATACATAGGAGGAGTTGGATTAGCTAGAGGGTATTTGAACAGACCAGACCTTACTGCAGAAAAATTTATTGCTAACCCATTTCAAACAGAAGAAGAGAAAATTTATAATAAGAATACCCGTCTATATAAAACAGGAGATTTAGTACGTTGGTTACCTAAGTTACGTGATCTATATAGCGACGAAAATTTTAACTTAACAATATGGGATGAATATGGACCAACTGAGGCTACAGTTGGTACATGTAATAGCAAGATATGTTTAGATAAAGACTTAACAATAGGTAAACCATATTCTAACTATAGAATTCTTGTTTTAGATAATAACTTAATGCCATTACCGATAGGAGGGATAGGAGAATTATACATAGGAGGAGTAGGATTAGCTAGAGGATATTTAAACAGACCAGACCTTACTGCAGAAAAATTTATTGCTAACCCATTTCAAACAGAAGAAGAGAAAATTTATAATAAGAATACCCGTCTATATAAAACAGGAGATTTAGTACGTTGGTTACCTGATGGCAATTTAGAATATATAGGACGTAATGATTTTCAAGTAAAGATCAGAGGATATCGAATAGAATTAGG